CTGGCAGGTGTTAACAAACTTTGACCATATGTCATAAACTCCAGGTTTTCCTCTTCCTGACTTAGCAGCTGTCCCTGTGGACCTCTAACTTGCGTTTTAAGTCTAGGCGTTTTCGGCGCAAGCTTTCTGATGGCCGAGTAAAGTGATTGTCTGTCTCCGCTGGCTTCTGCCTGCACAGCCGCCTCAAGAGTTTCCCCGAAGAGTTCACGTTTGCGCTCCCTGCCTCGTTTGCGGAACAACTTGTGGAGTCTGAGGTAGCTGGAGAGATGTTTCCATGCCCTAAGTATCCCTCGCATTCGATCATCCCTAACGGTGAGGCTCGCTTCATCCTGAGGCTGATGGTCCCCAGACAGATACAGTCTGATATGCCTGGCCATCCTGGGAGGTACCTCTGCAAGCATGTCTTTGCGCGCCTGCCACATATGCTTGACCTCCTCACGCAGGCCATCGACTACTCTAGGTGCTTGTTCAGGGTGATCTATTTCTAGGCAGCGGCTAGCCTCTAAGAGGGCCGTATTAAGGTCACCCGCAGACACTACGCTGTTCGAGTCAAGCTCATGCACGAGCGAGACGCAGAAGTCACGCATAGAGGCTTCGCTGTGTTGACTGGCAAGCTTTGGCTGTGTTTGTTTGGAGACTTTGCGCCGTTTGATAGCGCATCATGGGGACGTTGCTTACCACAGGATGGTGTACTGGCCCGAAGGGCCACTTAATCCTCGCCATCTGATCTGCCCGCACGCTCCGCATAACAAGAAAATCAATTTGTGTTTTGGCCTCCCCATTTTCAAAAGTGCAAGACTTTGATTTTTTGCCCCATGAGTTCAAGACCTGCAGCCGGAGAACCATGAGCATATGTTGGAGCTGATCCCGATCTGGTGGTGGGTGTTTGCTGGGGGTGACGCCTGGGCCCACAGAATCTCCTTGGGATCCGCAAGGTGTGTTAAAATCTCCTCCTAATATCAAGGTATTACGAATAGGTATGTTGCTGAGCAATGCTTGTGTCCTGTACCATAGTTTATCCCGTCTCGCGGTCAGTTGCTCCACACCGTTGGCGTTGTTCCAGCAGCGCTGGTATAGGTTCACAAGATCGACATGCTTCCGCTTATACGGGAAGCGTACATGAAGTAAGTGACCGCCGACTGTCGGAGCCCAGCGGGCCTCTTCTGCTTTGCAGCACCTTTTATGAAGAAGCGTAAGGCATCCTGGACGACGATGATCAGCAGTACCCGAATGTAATGCATGATATTTAGGAAGATTAAATTGAGAGGAGAAACGCCAGTGAGTCTCTTGGATCATTATCACATCATAATCCCTTTGGTCGTGTAGCCAGAGTTGGAACTCCATCCATGCGTCTTTTGGGAGACCGCCCGTTCCATGTCATGACCCTGAGCCTGTCACCTTGACTCTTGGAGGTAGGATCCAGGCCCTTGCTTCTGAAACGTCTGCTCGGCACACGTGGCATGGCCGTTGACAAACCTGCCATCCGGCGAAGGGCTTCAGCACTGTATGTCTGTCCCTTGTACGTGGCACACTGATGCTCCGACCTACTGGCTCTGCGTGCCGCCTTTCGGAGATTTCTCTTGGCTGTGTAGCCGTGGACCTCCTGCAACAGCACGGGCTGATTCTGCACTTCTCCCTCATTGCTCTGGTGGCCGTGAGCCTGCACCACTACACATAGAAGCATGAGGAGAAAGAGAAGTCTGTTTGGAGCTCTCTTGCGTGTATGGGCAGGTTTGGCATGCGATTGGGTTGCCTTTGCCATCTTGTCCAGGAATGCATGCAGGGTTGCAACCCATAGAACACAAAAGTAGACAATCAGGCTGAGGAAGCTGCGTGCAGAGACAGGAGCGGTTCGATCTTGATTTTCTCCTGGGGGCGCACAGCCATGGGTGCCAGTTATGACTGCATGATTTGCACACGGTGGGAATAGCAATTGCGCAAGAACGCATGTCAGTGCCATCTGTTCCTCTAGGCATGTCATGGATGCAGGTGCATCGCAGGTTCTGTGCAGGCATCGCGTAGTTTTCACCGGCCATGGAGGAGTCCGGCTCTGGTTCCTCAGCGCGGCGCCCAGGAGGGGCCGACAGTGGCAGCGACGCAGGCTGTTCTTTTTTTGAGCGTGGGACTTCTCTTCTCGGCTCCCAGAAGGGGCCGTCAGTGTAGAGGCATCGTCTTGATGATCGCCCTCATTGCTTGCGCCTGCCGCTGGGTTTTGAAATGAGGTTATGGTACGCATGAAACTTCTAGGGGTGATGCTCGGGGCCGTGTCGTCTGGTAGCAGCTCCGAGTGGGAGGCCGGAATTGCCCTGTTGGTTTGGTCCACATCGGCCATGATCAACTCCCTGAGTGCTGGGTCTCCGGCTTCCCCTTCAGGGGGGGCCGTGTGAATTTTTGGTAATATGAAGTCGCGAATCGATTGCCTCCACATCACTGCCTCATATGTACGGGGGTGTACAGCACTGAGAAGTTCCGTGAGCGCGATCAGGAGCTTGATCGCCGGCGCCCTAAAGAGGGCCGATGAAGCAAGAACGCTTCAAACATATCGCCACATTTGCCATGAAAGGAACCGTTGTAAATCTGGCGTATCTCGGCACAGCTCATGGTGGCCGCAGCTGCTAACGCCCAGGGCCCCACAGGCGGCGCGCCATGGGAGGCCGATTGGTGAAATTCCGAATGCTTGGCAGAGATATGCGCCTGTCTTTGAAAGCCAGTGATTTCCGTAGCAGCGCCAAGTGCCGACATCTCTTCCAAGTGCCCAACTATTTCGAGCAATTTCTGTTCAACAGTGGTGGGCCCTTGGGCTTGCTGCGCTGGCTCGATGGTTCGGCTCCCTGGCGGGGCCGCTTGGGCCGGCTGCGACGCGTGGCCTCCACTGCCCCTCGCGCTGCGCTGGCCGCCCGTGTTGCAGGCTTGGGCTTTGCTGTTGTCTTGGATGTGGGCCGCGCCGGAGTTGACGGCTCCGACTGATTGGCCTCGGCCCTGGCCTTGGCGCCCTCGCCACGATCTCTCCAGCTGCGCGGCGCCGACTTCCGTCGGGCCGATAATGCGACCTGAGGACTGTCCCTTCAACCTGTCTCCTTGACGGCTGCGTTAGATCTGACCATGCAGCGGACGCTACACTCAGCTTGTGATGTGGGATCAGGGCACTACCACTGAAATGGAGGCGCTTGCAATGTGAGATCATGAGGATACAGGTCTCATGGAACTGGCCTACCTTGGGCAGTGCATCACAGTCAGAGCATTGTTTGCCTGTATTTGTCACCCCTTTCCTATCCGAGCAGTCACTACTTGGACCTGCAACCCATTGCTGCGCATCAACAAGCATGCAAGGGATTGCCGTCAGACACTGCAGCAGGTGTAGGATTGCAGGCTGCGAGTGTTCAGCGCACAAGGCTCCGGCCCCGTTGTAACCAAAATCGGACGCGAATCTGGGATGTGCTGACCTGATACGTGACACAGCACTGAGTGCAGCACATGCTTGCAGACTGAGGTATCGGTTGCATGGTAGAGTTGGTGGAAAGGACTTCCCCTTGATGCGCCGGCACAAAGTACTGGCGGCTGAGATCAGTCTGAACCCAAATGACTGAACTAAAGGATGCTTTCTTGGAATTGAAAAGCGGGTATATCCATTATAGATGTCCTTTTTACTAGGCGCGCTAACTCCTTGGTGTCTGAGTGCTGGGCTTCCCCTGTCTCCCGTCCATCTTCCATCCGGCTCCCTCTTAGGGCCGACCTGGGCCAGAGGATTTGGCAGGCTTGGACAGTCAGCATTCGGGGTAGCATAGACACACTGAGCCTGAGCTGCGCAAGTCCATTTTTCCATCCTTGCGATGAGTCTCGGCGGAATGACTTCGGGGCAGAGGACTACGCCGTCGGTCGCCTTTAGAAGCCAGTTCGTGCGCATGGCATCGCAGGACCAGCTCTCTATCTCACATTCCGGCGCCCGAGGTCGGGGCCGTAGCGAAGTGAACGTGCTTTCGGCTCCCATCGGGGCTGCCTGGGATCAGTCCATGAGCCTTGATGGATGTCAATACTCTGGATGTGTGGCATGATAAAGCCTCGCGGGGGCCGATCATCTCTAGTCCATTGTTGATGCCCGAAAGTGAGTGACCCTGACGGGCCCTCACATGCGTGCCGCTATTGAAGCGTTAGCATTGGAAGTGTCTGCAGACGACGTGAGCCTTCTCAGCTCCTCCGAAGTGGTGGCCAAGCGCCGAATAGACTCTGTCAGCATTATATCATCCACCCTGACATAGCCATCGTCACGCATGCCCAGCTACTCAGCTCCGTGTCGGAGGACATATGCCAGAGCTCTGCGGAGGGCATCTGCTGCGGCCACCTGAGGTGGCCGGGACGCAGGGTCCGAGGCCTGACGCGGCGCCCCTAGCGGGGGCCGCCTTAGCTTTTGCTTCCATTCGTCTGGCTCGCTTCGCCAATTCATTTTTGGTACGGCGCCGCGCGCCATCGGGCCGAAATCTTGCCCGAGGTGCTGCGTTAAACCGCTTGCGATTTGACACCATGATAGCTGCGTCAGAGAGAAATGCTGTTTCGGCACTCGTATATGGGCGCATGCACTGGTGTGAAACTGGCGAAGCCCTGCAACAAGAAACGCAGGCAAGGTTGGGCTCCTGATGGTTGGGTGCAAGCTCGCTTGCCTCCCGACAGCCTGTAGCAGCTTGCTGCTCATTAGAGACCGGCCTACCTCTATGCTTCGCAACTCGAGATGCACTAGCAAGAAGGAGCGTTGTGTCTGCTCCCATCAGGCGCGAGGTGACAAACCTGATAACTGATAACCCTCACACCCCCGACCTGAGTACCATCGTCCCTGAACGGGATTGTGTTCATGGGACGAGCTAAAGAGTCGGTGGGGCCCGGACTTGGGACCGGGACGGCTCCTGGTCATAGTGATTGGTGCGCCACGCTGCTTCTGCGCAGCGGCTCCATGGTGGGCCGTAAAATCTGCCAAATCATACTGATTGACAATTCCGCCGCATGCCACCTCAGTCCATGGTATTGAGATCTGCGGGATAGCGTGCATTGTGTGCTCTTTGTGAGCTGCTTTCGGATGCACGGCAGAGCTCATCCGCCATGCGTTGGGATTGCCTGCGCTTCCTCCTGTGACGGGGCGGCGTGTTGGCTCTGCGGGTACCAACCGGTGCGCTGGTGCCCCCGGTTTCTCCCTCTTCCAGCTCCCCATCAGGGGCCGAGTAATCCGCGATCTTGTTGTATCTGGAGTGTATTGACAGGACACGCGCGCCTTCCGCGCCATCATTGGTTTCGTTGTCGATGTCCATGTTGTCTGGCTGAGCTGGGGCAGCCACTGCCGGAGCAATTGCATTGGACCCTGAGCTGGTTGCTCCTTTTGGCGGTCCATTTCCAGAGCCCGAGGCAGCCAGTATGGCCTCCGTGATCTCATGCGTGTGCCTGAGATAGTAGGTGATAGGTGGAGATCGCGATGCCTCGGGCCACTGCCTTGGAGTGGGATTCACAGGTCCGCGCACCTTCGCGTGGCCGGTTGGAGGACTTTGGGGCCGTAAAACAGCGGCATCCCCAGGCAGCGGCTGCTTGCCTGCCTCCGCGAGATCCGGTTGGGCCGCCTTGGTTCCCTCCTGGGACCATTCCCGTTCTGATGGCGGCCTCCTCTGCAGAGTGGCCGGTCCTTTCTTCAAACTCCGCAACAGTCTGCAGGAGAGCGCTGATGAGGCGGAGCTGTCCCTCTTCGTCAGAACTCGCAAACTGCTCCCTAACTGCATGCCCCATTTTCGACACCAGCCTCTCAAAACCATCTGACATAACGCTTGGGGGGACAGGCGGTCAATCGCAGCACCTGCTTGGTGCCTATCCTGTTCACTAGGCCAGTGTGTTACTCGAGCCGCAGGGCAACATTGAATGCGCTCGTCATACTTGAGAGGTGCAGCGAGTCCACTACTCAAGACAGAGGCTCTTGTTCTTTCAGCTCTATGCACGCTGCGCTCTTCGGCTCCACCGAGGGCCGTGCATCGCAGAGTGGGCACCTTTGCAAGTGTCAGACGCATGTGATTCATTCTACATGTCAAGGTGCTGTTCCATGCTGGCAGCATGCAGCATGCGTGACCAAGGTGCCAGCTCATTCGGCAGAAGGGCTGCCTGAATGATGTGTCCTGCCTCCTCTCGAGAGCCTCGTTCCATGGCTTGCCACACTTGAGTGGCTCGACGCGACCGTTCAGACCTAGTGCAGGAGTGCTGCGCGTGTTCAGCAAGCAAGTTCTCGAACATGGCAAACAACCGGTGCTGTGTACTATTGAAGATATCGTCCGACTGACATGAGCTCTCGGATTCGACTGCTTCTTCCTGCACGGTAGGATCCGGCTCCTCAGTGTCTGGGGCCGACATGATGTGCAGCATATCCGCAATATAGATCGGCCTGCCACCTGAAAGAACTCTGGCCCTGACATGTTGCAACAGCTGTTCAAGCATGAGGCAGTAGGCATCCCTTCTAAGAGGGTCACGGAACATCTGCAGATGTGAGAGGACATTGTTGGCTGTAGGGGTTGTCCTAATTTGGGCTTCCATCTGCTGGCGGTTCTCACCATTAGGGGCCGGGTATTCCACAAAGTACTGTTCAAGGCCAAAACTAAGAATTTCTTCCGTGGTGGTGCTACGAAGTTCAAGCCACAACGCAAGTCGGTCGATGGGCAGAAGCTCGTCAGCCCTACCGTCCAGTGCATAGTCTGATTCACAAGGCGGCCGCTCCAGGTAGGGGGCCGTACGCTGGGAAGACCTGGTTCCATCGCTGCCTGGTGACCCTGGTTCCTCTGCAGGAGGGGATGCTGCAGGAGGGGAGGCTGCTTCTGAGTGCTTACGCTTGCTACGATGAGGCAGCATACCTTCAAGATGAGGCCAGCGCTACACACAATGACACGATTTGCAGAATCTCTTCTCTCACGCCTGGCGGCTATCATACCATGGCACTACCCATCCGCTACAACAAAAATTAGCTTGAGCCGTGGTGCTTAGAAAAAGAGAGAGAGAGAGAGAGAGAGAGAAAGAAAGAGAGTCAGATGGAGGGAGGGGAGGTTATTTGAGATTATGTAGGGTTTAAGGCTTTCAGTTTCAAAAATGGGGTCCGTCCCTCCCTATGGCAAGGATTATGTTATATCGAGGTCCATATTGGGCTCCCTGTTAATGGAAACCTCCATGTAAACGGCTTGACTCTGCATGTAGCCGCCATGATTCATCTGAGTCCAGCGAATATGACTACACTTAAACCAACTAGAATCAGTGACAACATTGAAACCCTCTTCGTTGACGCCCGATCCCGGGCCCGCACCCCCGCCCCCTCACCTTCAACCTCCTCTCACAAGCAATACACCATCCCTGCATCCCACCAAAACATGGCCAGTGGCTGAAGTGTGGATATCACAAAATGGGTGTAATCTAGGCACACCTACTGCAGGGATATACAGAGATTGTAAGGATATTTGGGGGGGTCTGTCTTGGGGATTGCATAGGCCCTATAGGCATCATGTTGAGAAACTTCTAACTGAGGCCCAGCAACACCGCAGCCTGGAAGTCAAACTCATCCTCCCAGATACCTTTTCCTTATTGGTTCTTAGTAGGGTATAGAGGAACATACCTCCTATATAACCTCTACAAATCTGTACATTATGTATTTATTCCCTTATTCCCTACTAAGCACCGGTAAGTTTCGGAAACCAACAGAATTCAAGGGTTCAAGGTTCAAGGTTCGAGGCTCTCAGTTTACAGGATTCTGAATGGGGAAAATTTGCTGGAGTTGGGAATTTCGAGTCGTGAGTCTTTTCAATACCCAGACCCCTAAAGGATCCAAGAAAAGGAACCTCCCAATAGTCCCCTCTGCTCCCCAGTGTAGCAAGGGGGGTCATTGGGGGATTCCAATTTTTGGATCCTTTAGGGGGTCTGGATAATCGAAGGGCAGCTGAGCCCTAAACGCCAGCCCACAAGGCTCTGAACCCTAAACAGACATCCCAAAGTAATAGGGTTTAGGGTCGTTAGTCTAAAAGCCCTCGTGCAGAAACCTAATCAATGGCATATTGAAGTCCTCTTGAGGTACCCTCGGCCATAATACTAACAATTCTTTTCAAACCTATCCCTGATTGGAAGGCTGAGACCTGACATTGTCCAAGTTGCCCTTGCGAAAGCGTCGCTGGCCTTGACACGGGAAGGCATGCTGAGATGCTCATAGCCCTATGATACTTCAGCTACAGGCCCATGGAAGGAAACCAAAAAATACCAAAAACCGCAGAAAACCCTAAATCCAAAACAGCAGCCCAGTAGCTCAGTTCCTCAAGCATCTTCACGAATTTCGAGCTCCTGTCGGACTCCTTGCGCTCAGGGTCACGGATCTCCTCAGGCTTCAGCAGCGGCAGGCTTGAGGGCTTGGAGTTTGAGGCTTGAAGATTATGGCTTAGGGGGTTCAGGGTTTAGGTTTCGGGCGGGGATTTTTAAGGTGTAGGGCTTAGAGTGTACAATTTAGGGTTTAAGGTTGAGGTAGGAAGGCAGATGTTAAACCCTACCCTGGCACTACATGGGAAACTAGGGGTCCGTCCCTTTGTGCTACCAAAAGGGATTACATTCAGGGTTTTCCGGAATGGAGGGTAATTGAGGGTACCTTGTTTGGGGTCCCCCAAACCCTAAACCCCTTATAACCTTTTGCTGTAGACGTCGAGAAATTTCCTTCTTGCACTAGACAAATTCAAAGCAAGTCAGCCATAATGTGGGCATCATTCTTGTAAAGGCGATGGTAATTTAGTGACAATAATACACATTTCCTAGGCGGGAGAAATCCCCAGATTTATGATTTTGGGCGTTCAGGGGGTGGTTGGGGGTGCTAAGAATACAATTCCCAAGCTCACAGTCCGTAAAAATGGCAGCTTGCGCTTCAAATCAAATTAAAATCCCGTCGGGCTCCTCCTTCTCCATCTCCTACGGTTGCTCTTCCAGACCCAGACCTCCTCGTACTACTCCTACTACTCCTGCTTCAACGACAATGACCACTGAGGGAGAGCTCAGGCCCCAGAGTCCCCAGAGGTATTAATCTCGGCCCTCATTCATTGCTTGGACCTTGATTGTTTTGAGATTGGTCTGCCCGGAACTCCAAGGGGCTGGACTATTAACTTGGCGCTTACAATATGAAGGTTTCTCAGACCTCTATGCACCCTGAAAATCTACGTGGTTTGAAACCGGCTCCTGGGAATCCCTGCACGTGAAGGAAAACCATAATCACAGAAACTCTCTGAATGCCTGACCCGAAACATTAATCTTGCAATTTCTATTCACATGCCTACTCTTTCTCATTATTCCTGCCCTACTGTATACATCTTCAAACCTCGGCCCTTAACCCTAAACCTTAAACCCACAATTCCTACGATCAGCACCAAGGATCCAACTTGCTCCAATCTTCCGTAATACACACGCTGAGACGACCATATCCCCTGAGCCATTCCCGCAGACCTCAGAAGACAAGGTCATTGAGGCTTTAAAGGATGAAAGGGTTCCCGCTTCAGGGGATGCAGGGACTCTTTGGGAATAAGTGAGGAAATGATAGGGTTTAAGTTTTAGGGTTGGGGGCTGGGTTTGGAGGTTAGTGTTCAGGGTTTACTGGCATTCTTTTTTGAGGCCGTCACAAGGCTGCCCACAATCCCATTTCCACCTTCCATTTCCTCATCCACACCCTCAGCCAGGTCTTGCTCTCTTTCGTGCTGTTCCTCCGCCATTCCCTCCATACCATGCCGAACAAGCCCATGCTCATGCCGATGGATGAGCTTGTCCCTCATCATGCCCCGCTGCTCGCTGCTCATCTTGTCCACCGCTTCCATCACTCGCCACGGCCGGCCGCCCCAATTGCCTACATTGACCCTCTGCGGTCTCATCTTCCATACTTTGATTTCGGCCACGCTGACTTGTCCCCAACAGTCATCGTGACCTTGTACTTCCTTGCCCTTTTCGTTACGTAGCCCTCACCCTGCACCTCCGTCCACATCGCCCAGTCATCAAAGGCTGGGGCTTTGCTCACATTGTTCACCTCCATTTCATCCGCTTGTCTTTGTTGATCTCCTTCATGTCGCCTGGCAGCCTGGAAGTATTGGAACTCAGCCACATCCAGGTCCGTGGCATTCCGATTTTTTTGATTATATCCTTCTCGAACTCGAAATACGTCAGCACCCTAGTCTGATGTTTTCGTATTGGTGACCTTTTCCTGTTCTACTTGTGAGCCATTGACTGCAAAGGCACTCGAGCTTGTAGCCATAGCCGGGCACACGCCAAGAATCTCCAGCATAAGTTGCCAACAGCGCCTCCAGCCTGAAGACCCGGTCACGTATCACAGGTCCCAGCGCAATGCGAAGACGCATCATCTCAGACATAATATGCCACATGCATCTGACAATGGCATTGACTTGCTTCGGTGACATACTCTCAAAGTGAGCTTGTAGTTAAGCAAATGTACTTCCGTAGGCTGGCAGGGGTTTTCTGCATGAACGACAACTCATCGTTCCACCCACATCCCACCCTCAAGCGGCCGGGTTTACAGTTTAGGGTTTAGGGTTTGGACTCTTTTTAGAGCTCTTTTCAACCTCCTGGCTTGCAGGGCCCTGGGCCGAGCAGGAGCCGCACTACGCACAACTCCATACTCCGCAGCAGCAACCTACCCCCTGTCAGGCGTCTTCCGGGAAGTCATTACCTGTAGTAGCCTGGTCTCTTTGGGGTTTAGGGTTTAGGGTTCAGGGTTTAGGCCTTGGGGTGAGCTGATGGAGTCTGGAAGGATAACATGAAGCTCTCCCAGGTGGCAGAGAAACCTACAAAAATCTGGGTTGCTGTAGAGGAACTTAAATTGAGCTACCATATGGGTATGTAGCGTTTAGGGTTTAAGTTACCATAAGATGGATAAATAACAGGGTTTCCTTGTTACGGTAAGTTAATCTAAGTTCATTAACAGCAAGACAGAAAATTGGCGACATCCTGTGTAGCTCCTTCAAAGACCGCATTCGTTAAACAATGGACCTGAGACCATGCCCAGTTGAACCTTCAAGATCACATGCGCGAACGCCGCGGATTTGTTTTCAGGCTCTTACGAGTTTGGGTTTAAGTGGCTGGGGTTTCAGAATTCTGTTTCTGCGTGCGAGCAAACCGCAAACACATGCCAGGACAAACCTTGGACCCTAGAGCCATGCTATGGCAAATTACATTATGAGGTTTAGGGTTCAGGGTTTATGGTTTAGGGCTGAGGGTTGGGGTTTTAGAGTTTAGGGTTCACTGGGTTGCTGTTGAGGAACTCAAACTCAGCTACCATTTTATGTCTCTATCGTAAATAGAACGGTTTCGTTCTAATGGTACCTTGATCTACACTCCTTAATAGCAGCGCAGCCATGCGCAACACAATGCTTCAGACGCATGATGGCGGGTACGACCGCAATGCATACATCCCCAGATCACTTGTAACAGCGTTGAGGTATAGAGCGCAATATCGCTGACAATCTACAATTCAAATGCAGAAACCCTAAGCCCTACACCCTGAATCCCAAACTTCAAGTCCCAAAACCCAAAGGCCTGAAACCGAAACTTTCCATCCTACACCCTCACTCCCAGATCCTCAGTCCGAAATCCTGAACCTTGAGCCTGAAGCCCTTCTCCTGGGAATTGCAGCTTCAGTGGCGTCTTTGCCGCTGGCCTTCGAAGAGAAAGACCTGCGAAGGCCGCACCTGTGATTTAGAGGCTCCACGTTTAGGGGGGCTTTCAGGTGCTTTAGAGGGTTTATTTAGAGGCTGGAGAAATTTAGGACTTTAGGGTTGTTCTCTTTTAGGTTTTGCTGTCTGAGGGTCAGGTGCGCAGTGAAACGCCTAGAGCTTCGACCTTATGGGTGGCTACAGGCGCGTTGAGCATGCCCTGATTTAGGGGTTTAGGGATTTAGGGTTTAGAGGTTTACAGTAGGGTTCAGAGCTTAGACTGAAGGCTCAACTTGGAGCCAATGTAGGCGCCAGCTGATAGATTGGCTGGGTTGCTGTTAAGAAACTTAAAATAAGTTACCGTAATGTGGGTATATAACAAGGTTTCCGTATTGTAGTAACTTAGCTTAAGTTCCTGAACAGAGACCCAGAAAACTGGCAGCTCCCCTGTAGGGCGACCCCTATGTAGACCCGAAAATACCATAGCCCTTATAAAAGTGACCCCCAAAGACGTGCCCATAATTTTGGGAAACCCTCATTTAGGGCATAGGGAGGCTTTCCAGCTCGTGGTAGTCAAACATAGGAAAATGGGCACCATGCTCCTGTCACAATCAAAAAATCTTCTTGGTGCTTGGGGTTTGCAAAAGAATCCAATTAAAATTCTGACCCAGCCTGCAAGGAGGACCGCTGTCAAAACGTTCCCCACTCTGACAACCACAAGCGCGACTTGGGAGTCTCTCAATATACTCCTCAATATGGACCACGGAAATCCCTTTGTACTCCCGACGGTTGGCACAACAAATTCATGCATGAGCCCAGGCACCTTATACCTTGCAGCTTGTTACGTTACAGTATACTGAGGTCATGCAGGATCTTGAGTACCCGCCGTGTCAACCCGTGGGCGCGGTTCCTTCTGGAGATCAGCAACACGTTGCCGGATGTCTTGGCATGATAACCTCAACAAGGCTTGTCTTGGACCAATCTACTATAACCCAAATACAACCCCTATATACACCCTATATAGTAGTTGTTTCCATTTTCTTTTCCATTATCCCAATATAATCCCTAGATTACCCTATATGAATTTCAATATGTACCCTATAACCCCTATAGATTGCCATTTTCTTTTCCATTATCCCAATACATCCCCTTACTTACTGGTTGGCAGCAGGGAGTGGAAGAATGGATCCCCATAGTAGCCCGTTATATCCTTCATTAATACCGTGCTTTACATCTTCTTTTCCATTCGACCCTACTAACAACTATAGAAAGTCCAGAGGCTTTGAAAGTAATGCAGCAAGCATGTTGCTGGACCCAAGGTAGGGTGCAAGCCCGAAACGGTGCCCACACAAACGACGCCTTAAAAGGAAACTACATGGATTTCCGTGTCAGCTCAGGAGTTCAGGCTCTTCGCTCCTCCTTGGTTGCTTACCCCTACCTAGGAAAGACCAAAGTATTTACGCTAGATTCCTCTGTAGCGCTATGTGGGGTGCTGTTTGCGTGTGTATCAAGTTGTTTGTCCAACATCTGACCATTTCCCGCAAAAACAAAAAAAAACTTAACGGCTTAGTATTGGGCACAACGTTCCAACAGGCTTCCTCAGTACTGCGCAGCTGCATCCCATTCAGGGTCTCCGGTTCAGGGTCCCGGGTCAAACGGGTGTATCAGCCACAGGCCGGGGTTCAGCGTTTAGGGTTGGGGTTTGGGATTAAGAGTTTATCATGGGTTCCCCTACTAACCCCCCTTTACACCATGCCCCCAGGTTCCCGCCCTAATATTTTGGGATTAAGAGTTTACGTTAGAGGTTTAAGGTTTCAATGTCCGAGGTCTAGGGGTCTGGAGTTCAACCTGAAGGCTTCAGGTCACAGTTCTTAGCGTTCAAACTGGGAGGGTTCCTGAATCCCAAACCCTAAACCCCAAACCCTAAACCTCAAACCCCAAAGCCTAAACCCCTAAACCCCTGCACCCTGCACCTAAACCCTCAACCCCAGCCCTAAACCCTAGGCCCTAAACCCTTAATTCGAGGATTCCGGGTCCAGGATTCAAGTCCAGGTCGGGGTTCAGGCCATCAGGCCGGCGTTCGTATATGGATGGGCTTTCACAGTCAACTACTGGAGTTACAGTAATTTAGGGGCCCTAAGTGGTACAAGATTTCATGCATCAACAGTATGTCACTATGCGCGTCGGTCTGAAGCTGTTCCTTCTCCGGCCTTTGTATGAGAAGGTCATATCCACGTCAGGAGAGATAAGAGGATTTGGCTTAGCTGGCTGTGGTTTTTACTTGTTTCGTTCTTGCTTCATTGTGAGTAATTCGTGTTTGGGCGGTCTTGCCGTTGACATGTTTGCACGCCACTGCACGCTTCCCAGCGCGCGACCGTGCCCCGGACGCCCTCAACCCTAAACTCTGAATCTTAACGTCAGAGTCTGAAGATTTCAATCCTAAACCCTAAATATTTGTTTCCATTTTCTATTCCATTATCCCCATATAACTTCATGGACCTAAAGCCTATGGCCGGAAAGTCATGCTAGCGCTAAATTCTGAGTGAAGCTGGAAGGCCAAGTGAAGACCGGCTCTCCGCCCGGCGGAGGCAGGGGCACAAGTGCCGCCACGGCGCGAAAGAGTTTCAGCAGGCCATCTGGAAAGATTTGGGAGGGTGAGGGTGAGGCGGTAAGGCTTCAGGTTTAGGCTTCGAACTTAGAATCAAGGGTTTGGGTTTGAAGGCTTAGAGTTTAGGATGAAGGGTTAAGGATTTAAGCTTCGCGCTGAGGACTTATGACTAAGGGCTGCCCAGGGGTTGGGACTGTATGCTTAAGGTTTACGGCTTAAGGTTTGCACAAATGAGGGTGCCTTGAGGACCCCGACCATATTTGGGGACTACAAACGAATCACGGGCCCTTTCGGTACGCTTTTGGGCGTTTAGGGTTTAGTTTAGGGTTTGGAATGTAAAGTTTTAGGGACTTCTGGACAATGTTGAAAAACGGGGGGGGGGTCCAGTGGGCATCCTTTTTAGTGTCCAGCGGGCATCCTTTTTCGAGTTTTGGATCCAG